TTTGGGGGTGAGCTCTCAGCTGGCACCCCTTCTTGCTAAATGCCCCTTTGTGTCTCAGCATGGTTATGTGAGTGACTCTTGGGGCAAATGCCAGCCCTGCAGTGTGTTCAGAGCCTGGGAAGGGTGCACACAATTCCTGCTCTTCCTCAGAGCAGGTGGCTGTTAGTGGCTAAGAGGTGGAACAGGAGCACAAGTGAAGACAAGATTCAGTGAGGTGGGATGGTCCTTGTGGCCTGCGAGCACCCCGTGCAGGGTGTGCGATCCACAGCGTGTGGGTCCTGGATCCCAGCATTTCAGGTGGATCAGGGGAACAGCTCAGAGCTCTCCTGAGGGGGGGAGCAAAAGTTGCCTGAGGATAGATGGAGGTATACAAGAATCCCCCATCTCCACAGGGACTGAGCCTCTTATGGAGAGAGTTCATTCTGTGAGAGCCAAAGAAGCATAAAGGTCCCAAGAGCGGTGACAGCACGTGTTCCTTCGCTGTGAGGGTCCTTGGAGAACCAGGGTGGAGGGAGACCAGTGTACCCCCACCCCTCCCTGCACACCTGCTCCATGGGCTCAGTGCCATCCGCAGGGTTAGGGAAGGTCCAGCCACCGCAGAGCAGCAGCAGTGTTCAAGGAGGTGTGAGCAACCACCTGCAGCTGGAGCGCTGGTGAGTCTGCCCTGTTTGTGGCTTATTTTAAACCAATGTGAAAATGAGCTTCCTCTGACGGTTTGCTGTGAACCATCTTGCCGCTGAGGCTGCGAAGTGCTCTCAGTGATTACTCAGAGAACTCACACTCGGAAGAATGCCACCGAGGCCTAATTATGGCCTTACTTAGATATCGCTGCCCCAAAAGTGACTCTGTGCCCAGCTGTGGTCATGCAACTGTTGGTTGTTTATCTTTTGATATAATGGCTCCATTCATTTTTCACTGATATCAAAGGGTTTTTGCAAAGAGAAGATAAATTTGTCTAGTGGATGCGTTTTCACTACCTTAATTAAAGATTCGATTTTATTAATTTATTTCACTTTAATACATAAAAGGCACATGAAATAGGGGATGAAAGAAGTCAGCGAACAAATAAAGCCTTCCTTTTACAGAAATTTCTGAGTTACTGAGTAGATAGGGCTGTGGTGCCAAGTGGCCTCTGGGGTAAGACTCCCTTGGAAAGAAAACCAGTAGTTGTAGTTGGGTATGGACACATCCCCGAGGTTTATGGGTGGCACAGGTTGCTTCAGCTCTTGCACCTGAGAGGAGAGAACTTGGGGTGGGGGTAGTCAGACGACGTCATCATCTTTCCGTGTCACATGTGGGGCTGGAAAGATGCAGCCTCAGGATTCAGCTTCTAGATGGGTGCCACAGTGCTGCCACTCACCGTCACTCAGTGGCCATTCTGACAGAGCAGAACATGCTTCCTGCCTGCCACCTCTGTGTCCAGAACAGCCAGTGCTCTGGCAGGCAGGTGGTGGCCCAGTCTTAGGTGACCTCTTGCTTTCCCCAGTCTCTCCACAGTGACTGGCCCGAGTTTTCCATGTGGTTCTCTGTTTTGTGTATCCACTAGTTCTTGTGTCCTTGAAGCTGGTGTTGTCAGCAACCTGGAGTGCTTAGCGGCTGCTCACACATCATCCAGCTGGAGGTCCCTCCTTGGGTATCCTCCTGCCTGGGGACAGTGAGGTGGTGGTCACTAGGGGAGAATCCCCAGTGGAAAGTGGGGTGGGACCGTGGCCATCGGCAGGGAGGCCCAGCGAGAGCGGGGCTCCATGCAGACACAACAGTGTAAGAGAGCGGTGGAGTGGGCAGGGAGTTCCAAGTGTTCACTGCCTTTATTTTAACATGACTTACTTAGGGGTAAGTTTATGTAATTTGACTTTTGGCAACAACTGTATCTGGCTACAATCAGCTCTCATGGGCTGCGCTGGGCCAGCAGGCCATGGCCTGCATGCCAGGTGTCACAGTTAGAGGTTTCAACGCTGAGAGTGTCCTGCCACCATTGCACAGACTCCTGGAAAGAGGATGGTGTCCACCACTCCTTTGTGTCCTCAGAGCTGCCTTCCCCACAGAGCTTGATCCTGTCATCCATTCTCTGAGTGAGAGTGTTTCATCCATATCTGTATGCAGAGGGTCCAAACTTTGAGTGTCATATACTCCCCTGGTTTAGTTTTGTTTCTGTGCAGGATAGAGAAGAGCACACGCCTTCTCAGATGGTCTCTTCACAAAGCCTTTGCACAAACAATGTGTGTTGCAGATGCTCACAATCTTGAATTGTTACATAACATATGCTCCCACTCAAAAAGGCAACTGTGGCTCCTATGTAAACCAGCTCATGCCTTCGCGCCAACACCCTCATCCTGTGTGTGGGTGGGTGACAGTGGGCACACAGACACTTTCCCACCCTGGGCCTGCGTGTGCCAGCTGCCTTGGCCTGACCCAGGCAGGGTGTGCAAGGCTGGGGCTGTTCCTTCTTTACCACAGGCATCACTGTCCCCCCATCCTCATCACCAAGAATAATTTATCAAGAGCTACACAGGCACCTCCCATGACACAAATAACTCCTCTGAGGTCAGACCTTAGATGCAGAAGCAAACACAGCCCTGAGGAGACAGGACAGTGGGCAGGACAGGAGGGGATCATGAGCAGGACAGGACAGGAGGAGACGGGGTGGCAGGCCTGACAGGAGAGAAGGAAATGTGGTAGGAGACAGGACGGGAGAATGAGGAGACTGGGTGGGACAGGATGGGACAGGAGGGGAGAAGGTGGTGGGCAGGACAGGAGGGGAGGCAGGAGGGCAGGTATGCCCAGGGATGGAATGGGGCAGGGGGCAGGGACGGAGAGACAGAGATAGAGAAGCAAAGAGAGAGACAGACAGAGAAAGAGATAGAGGGACAAGGAGAGACAGAGAGAGAGGGAGAGGGAAAGGAGACAGGGAGAAGTGACAGCAAGTGCCCGGGAAGCCGTTGGGGCGGGGGTAGCTTGGGGCTGATTGGCCGGGGACTTGGCATCCATGCCCTTTGCAGGGCTCCTCCCCAAGCTACTGTGCCCCTCAGAGGCCTCACCACCAGGTTTGGGGACAAGAGTGTGGTGAATGAGAACGACCCGTTGATCTGAGGTCTGCCTGGCTCTTGTGGATCCACTGCAGGATCCAGTCAAGGAGGGAGCCAGACAGATCTCAGGATCCCTGAATGCACCCTCTGGTCCTCTGAAGCAGCCCAGATTCCGTCTCCATCCCAGACACTCCCTGAAGTGGAGAGAGATGCATGTTGAGCTTTTGTTATTTCCAGTAGATTTTATTAGAGCGACACCTGATCTGTGGCAGCTGTGGTACCACTGGCAGACTGTCAACACAGGCGACCCTGGGTCATGGCTTGCCTTGAACCTGCTGTCTGTTTGGGTGTGCAATCCCTGAGACAATGAGGTTTCAGTTCTGCTGTATTAATTCCCTTCCTTTGTCCAAGGAGTCAGTTACTTTAGAGACGCCCTGTGATTTCAGGGCACCAGAGAATTTTGGTTAATTAAAATTGCTCCTGTTTTCCCTGCTTCATAGATAGGTGGAAATATGCTAAGGCAGAGTACATTTTCTTCTGTAAGGTGAGCTGATGGGAGACTCCAGAAGTCCCTGATTTGGCTTATTGTCCTAGGCCGTGGCTGTGTCTGCTGGTCCAGGAGCAATCTCAGAGAGGAAGCAAGTGGCCCCACGCCTCCGCAGCCTTGGGTGATTCCCTGGGAGAGTTCCACTGTGCTGCTGAGCACAGAGGTGGACCACAGGCCCTGAGGAGCCTGGGAGGCGGGCCCCTGCGCACAGGCTCCCACCGTCCTGGCCCCAGGCCCCTGAGGGCTGCCTCCTGGGACTCCACCCTTCCACCCTTGCCTTCCCTGCTGGTAGCCCACTCCAGGGAGAGAGGCCAGTGGTGCATCCTTTGAGTCATGTGGTCAGCAAGGATGCGGAGCAGTGGGATGTGCCAAGTGGTTGGCGCTGCTTGGGCTGCACTCAAGCAGAGCTAGGAACTACATCCTCTGTGGCGGGTGTGGGTACTGCGTGCTGGCCCACCCTCTGGTTCCCACAGCATGTGCGGACTGGCACCCTCTCCACAGCTGTGAGAACAGCCTTGTCCCATCCTGACCGATGGGTTTCAGCCCCAAACTCCACGTGGAGGATCTCGGGGCAACCTGGTGGCTGGAATGGGGGGTGGGTGGGCTGCCCAGAGAGACACTGCTTTCGCTTGTTCATAGATTATAGGTTAATAAATATAGCCAAGTTTCCAAAAGACACTCTGATTGACCCTTCGTTCAGGTTTTCATGGACAGCTGTTCTGACTGTTGCCACTGGCGGCTGTGGGGCCATTTTCACCTGTTAGAATTCAGGCTGCTTGCCAGCAAGCCCTTTTTTTCCCGGCTGCAGTTGTGGACGCCTCCCAGGGGGGACTGCAGCTGTGGGCATGGGGAGGGGGTGGGGAAAGGATCCCTCTCTGAGGACCAGGCACCTTTCAGGGACATTGGGGCACCCTTTCTGCACACCCTCTTTCTCCTGCACCCTGAGGAGGACCCTCAGGTAGGGGCCGTCAAGGTCCTCAGAGGTGACTGTCCTATGGTGTGGGGGGCTTCTGCCTGGCCGGCACCATGGGGAACGTGTTCTGGGAAGCTTGTCAGGTGTAGGGAGGAGGAAGGGGCCTGTAGGGGCACCCACACCGTGGAGGTCAGGTGTGGGGCCCGGGACGGCTGCCGTGTGTGGGGGCGGGTGGCCCCGGGGGCAGTGCTGTGTGGGAGGCACAGTTCCTTCCCAGTCAATCCTGAGTCAGCCAGCAGCGCCCACACCCTGAATGGCAGACCCAAACCAGTGCTCTGCCTGTTGCAGGCAGCTTAGAATTGCCAGGTATTTTAAGCACATGAAACCGAGTGTGATCTGGGAAGTGGGGAAGGCACAAGGCCTGCCCAGAGGATGTTTTCCTGGTTCCTGCTCTCACTGGGAGCCAACAGAAAGCCTGCTGAGGGAGATGGGACTGGGGGACAGGGGCCCATACCTGGCGATCTTATCCGTGCAGGACATGGTGACAAGCTGCTCGCCCAGCAGGATGCCGTCCCACGTCTGTTCTGAGCTTGGGCCCCGGACGGGGACAGTCCCCTCCCTGGATTCAATCTTGGTGCGCAGGTGCCCACGGAACTTCCTGACGATGTGCTTGCTGGTGCTCACTAGGAGATAAGAGGCAGCTGTGAGAGGCAGCTGGGGCCTGCCTGTCCAGAGGTACATGGTTCCCCAGCTTGGTGGGGGAGCCCAGAAGCCTCTCTAGGACCTGTGCCATGGCCGGTGGGCTAGGACAGGAAGCGTGAATCAGGGCCAAGGCAGGAAGGACTGTCACTTCTTCAGCCGAGTGGTGGTGGTGAAACGGGCACCACTTCCAGACCATGGTCAGCCAACGGCTCATCAAGGGCAGGTTGTAAATATTTAACCTCTGCAGCCATTTGGCCTCTGTCACAGCCACTCAACTGCCAGTAGCACAGAGCAGCACAGGACTGTGGTTAGGTTCTCTAATACTTTGTGGACAGTCAAATTGAGTTCCATATAACTTTCATGGGATGTGAAATGCTCTTTTTTTCACTTTTTTCAGCCATCTAAAAATGTAAAAATCATGCTTAGTTTGCGGGCTATACAGAAACAGGTAGTGGGTGGATTGGCCCAAGAACCTCCTCTTGATTTTAATCCTGACTATATCATTTCCTAGCTTCATAACAACTTCCTTGGGCAAGTTACTCAAAGCCACTGTGACACAGTTATTGCATCTTAAAGTAGGGACAGTAATGGTGCCTCCCTCCTAGGCTTGGGGACTGGATGAGGCCCTGTGAGTGGTGCACAGTGTGGTGTTATTGAGGGCCTGCATGAGGCAGTCACCCTGCTATGCCCAGAAATGACATGGCCTATGGGTAGGTCCCCGTGGGTCCCTGAACACCTCCATTCCATTCTCCTTTCCTGTCCAGAGCTCTCTGGACACAGGTGCACACAGGCATGCTCACACACACACTGCACACCAACATGGTTATTTGGAGAACTAGCATGAACAAAGAGAAGTTTAGTTTTTCTTTCTTGAAAACAGTTCTGTACATCAACCTGGATTATATTATAATATCGAAATGGTTAACTGCTTTGCATACAAATTATATATAAAATAGCACAGTGATTCCAACATTACATACATATCATGACATGGATGGATATTAGACGCTTTTCTTTAAAGTTTCTATTTAAGTTTTAGAAATTGTTGAAATGGGATTTCTCTCTCATTTACCCTTTCTGAAAGTAGCAAATAATAAATAACAGGTGGGTTTGCCATGTTATTTATTGCTCTACTCCTAGGAGAAAGTAAGCTTTTGAGAGGTTTCAGATGCTTTTTGATCCTGCTCCTAACCAGGTACTTGAAGAGATCCAGTTTGAACTGGTCTTTAAATCATCCACAGAAGGAAGAATCATGGCGAGAAGCTGAGCCTGGGTGGGCAGAGGCAAGGAATGCCTAGCCCTCTCCCAGGTGGAGTGTTAATTGCTTTGTAGTTCTAAATGGCACCACTAATCAGATGACAATGATGGTGATTGATGATAATGATGGTGGTGGTGGTGATGATGGGAATGGTAGGGATGGTGGGGATGGTGGGGCTGATGGTGGGAATGGTGATGATAGTGGGGATGGTGGGCATGATGGTGATGATGATGGGGATGGTGGGGCTGATGGGGCTGGTAGGGCTGGTGGGGCTGGTGGGGCTGGTGGGGATGGTGAGGATGATGATGGTGTTGGTGGAGCTGGTGGGGATGATGATGGTGGTCGTGGGGCTGGTGGGAATGGTGGGGATGGCGGGGATGATGATGGGGATGGTGGGGATGGTGGGGATGATGGTAATGGTGGTGGTGGTGGTGGGGATGGTATAATGATGGTGATGATGATAAACTGAACATAATAACATGGTTCATATCACTCAAAAACACTTGAGCAAACCCTTAGTTTGACTTGACTTTATGCATTGTCCTGCTGGGGTCTTCATCACATCAACTTCCTATGATAGGGCTAGCATACCTGCAGTCTACCATTTCTGCAGTCTACCCCAATCTTAGAGACTTGACTCTTCTGTGGGGTTACTTTTTCAGGAAATGAGGTACTTGCCCACCTTGCCCTTTCTGGTAATTACAGTACCCTCATTCTTTCAGTGCCCTGACAATTATGTCATTTTTCCAGAACTCAGAAGTTGCCTATTATATGGTAAGGCTTTGCTAAATTCTTACGTACTGCTTCTGCACAACTAACTTTCCATGAGGTAAACTTCATAGTCTGTTAATGCCGTCACAACAGGGAGGCCTGGCTTGTATTAACAACTGGTTTCTAGGAGTGAACCAACCAAGAGTTTTCAGGTAGATTAATTTTGCCTGCAGAGCCAGGTGCACGAGATACTCCTGAGAAGTGTTTACTTTGTGCGGTGTTAAATCTTAGGCTCCCTTTTCTAGCTTGCTCCCTGTTGAGCTTGATCAGTCCTGGGGGTTCTGAGTGTCGGCTATCTTGCTGAGCCCCTTCTTCTGGTTCTTTCCTGCCTAATTGCGTGTGGCAGGAGGGAGCTGAAGATGTCACTTCAAGCAGAACGAAATGTCAATCCAACCAGAAACTGCAGGGAGCTGAACTCAGAAAATCCATCGTGGAGACACTGGAAGTGTGAAACGTTAGAGTCCTGCCCACCATATACTCATAACACTGCGAATCATGAGAATATTCTAATTCTGATATTCCACATCATCAGACTCTTCATTATAGTGTTTATAAATCCAAAACCCTTACTTCTGAAGATTGATGTCAAGATAAAGTGGAAGTAGTAATATGGTTTAGAAAATTGTTCAGGTTAATACTTTACTCTTAGGAGAGAATCAGAAGGAGATGAAGATAAATGGCAATTGAGAAGTCTACCTAGGGAGCAAAGACCTACCTAAAAAGTGATCTATGATTGCTGCAGAAATGAAGGAAAAGGGATAGGAAAGGAAGACAATATTTTTAAACACCAAATAAACTTTTAATTTGCAGGCATCTTCAGAAGGTATACCCCAGAAGGCACACCATCTTTTCATTGTAATCACCCCTGCCGTTTGCCAGGTGGCCATGAGAGGGTCCTTTGTCTTGAGGAAGGCAGCATTAGTGACAATGGGACGCATGAGGCCCCTCAATCCCATGGACCCTGCAACCTGAGACTGCACCCTTCTGTCACTCAGCAGGCAGGTCTGAAGGCAGGGACCTCAGGAAGTGGTTTTGGATTCCTTGGCCTCCTTGATGAGTTTGGTGCCTCTCCTGAACTGGCTTGCTGTGCAGTGAGTGGACCTGGCCTGAAACTTGCCTTCAGTTTTGACATAGTCACGCTATTTCCTGTCTGGTGGAAGATGGATCAGAGAAGTTAACCAAGATGTTAAATTCTTGGGAAAGATCAGTAAGAACCAAATTTGCCAGGTTATTTAAAGAGCAGGCCAAGGAGCAGGAATTTGTGTTAAGGATGCTGGTGAGGTAGGGTGGTGCTGTCCAGCCATGGTGTGGTGTTATACATCTTTTCATTACTCCAGCCATTTAGGTTCTTATCAGAGCCACCTTGTGTCTGGCTCAGGTCCAGCCCAGAGCCACTCATGAAGTGGAATCATCCCTGTGGGTCTGGCCTCCTCCCATGGAGCAGCTAAGGGTGGGTAAGTGCCAAGCCTTGGTTTGCAGAGCCTGTGGCTTGAGTGGCTCCTTTGCTGTAGCACAGGCTCCAGCCCCACCTGCTCACTGTGGCTGCCTGGCCCCTGCAGAGGCTTACTGGACCCTCCTCAGCCCGCACTCCTTTCCATGACACCAGTAAGGAGATACATCCCCAACATGGGCAGGAGACAGTTTAGGGGGGTTCGAATTGGGTGGCTCAACACATGGCTGACCCTTGGAATCCCTGGGGAAGTTTGAGAGTACAGATCCTTGGAGCCACTCTGTCCCAGAAGCATTAGCAGCAGAATCCCCATGTAGGAGCTTCCTGAGGTGAGCCATTCCTCCTGGATGTCTCAGACCAATTGGGTTCGTTTTTAATGGCTCCAGGGAGGGAGAATTTACCATCTGCCCAGATGAGCATTTTTGAGGAAAGCAATAAAATTGAGGCATTTAGAATTTTTTGAGCCACTAACATCCCTGGGAGGTGGGCGGTCGCAGCCAGAGCCGTGTTCTTTCTGCAGCTGGGGAATTCACTGTGCCTCTAGAGCTCCTTGGAGGGCCTGCTGCGGTGCTCTGCAGCCTGGGGAACGTGGGCCTTGTTCCTAGAAGTCCCACCAGGCCCTCTGTTGTGTGATCTTGGTTTTAGTGATTGTTTAGACCTGTTTGCCAGAATTTCTTGCTCTGCTGTGTGTTCCTCTTCTCTTTAAGGGATGGGAAAATCTGGGCAACTCTCTAGAACAGGTCAAGTGATAGGCATGATTGCAGATCCTGATGGCAGCACACAGCTGCAGGGGTACCTGTTTGTATGTGCATATGCTCTTGTGTATCTGTGTGCATGTGTCTATGACAGGGAGAAGATGCAGGAAAGGGGAAAGTGTCCTGACACAGCTGCAGGCCAGGGGGAGATGCATAGCAGCTCCTTGGGGACAAACAAGTGAGTGAGGACAAATGAACCACAGTGACAGGGACCCTCAAGGCAAAATGCTGGCAGGGGAGTGGCATAGGGGTTTCCCTCTGGTGCTGAGCTCCTGGGTCCTCAGAGTCAAGTACAACATGGGAGTGGATTGGCCTGGCTGCTGCCATCTACTTTTGTAGACACAGTGATGTCACTGTGACCTTTGGGGTCATTCTCCCTGGCCCCATCCAGGACAGCTTGAGGCTGTGCTGCAGTGAGGCTTGTCTTCTGCTGGTTTCCTCATGGGAGAGTGGCCGATGGCAAATGGCCTCTTTCTATTCCAGGATTTCCCTTGGGCTGGTTGCCATTGGCTCTGCCTGGTAGGAGCTGCTCCTGCAGCCGTCCCACAGCCCAGCCCTCAGCAAAGCACAGCAGCTCCGGTGGAGGCATCCGCCTGGAAGCTGAGGTTCCTCTAAAATGGAGACATCCTGAGTGCCAAGCCTTCCTCGGGAGCATGGGGAGCGCAGCAAGAGTCTCGGGGAGGCCCTTCCAGGCAGGAGCTTGGGGTTCTTGCCCTTCCTGTGTGACTCAGGGCAAGGTGGTGTGTGATCTGTGCTGACAAGTGTAGAGCACAGACTCGCGGTCCTGGGGAGTTACTGGGAGAAACCAGCCTGAGCCTCTTGGCGCATCTAGACTCTGCCTGGTAAATCTGCAGCAATAATGTGAGGAAAATACCTTACGTTTTCCCCACCAACACCTGCCACTTCTTAAAAGCATTGTGAAACAAAAGACATCTGTGTCTGGAAGTGAGCCCCAAATATCTGAGGATGTATTTGTGTTTCTAAACCACCAGCTTTGCAAGTTGGAATCCAGGGCTGGGAGGTGGCACTGAGCTTGAACTGCCCCTCTGGAGAGGCCAGGGGTCTCTGGCATGACTGAGACTCCTACCCGGCTCACTCAGTGGCCCAGCTCTTGCCAGGAGAAACTGGGCAAGTTAGGGCAGCCAGGGTGTCCCACAAAACTTCTTCTAGGCCTGAGGGCTCCTGGTCTGGGTCTTCATGGTGCCAAGCTTTGGAGGGGAGATGGAAAGGCAGTTTTCGTAGCTGTCTAATGGGCTGCATCTCAGTCCTGAGTAGGAAGTAGGGATTGTGTGGGTTCAGCTTGACGAGTAACTCCATGGTGTTTACTGCATGCCAGTGAAGAGAGTCCCTGCACGGCCCATGCCCTCCTGCCATGAGCCCTTCCCTCCCAGCGGGGTGTGCCCTCTGCTGGGTCCACCTCAGCCCTCCTGCTCCTGGGGCAGCTCCCTGAAAGGCCTGGTGTTCAGGGGTTACCCCTTTGACTCAGTTTGATTTGATTCTTCCATTTTCTCTAGGGGGGTGTTATGCGCAGAATTTGTCCCCCAGATTCAGTGCTAATACTGACTGCCAGGTGATCGTCAGGAGGCGTGCTTTGGGGGTGATGAGGTCATGAGGGTGGAGCCCCCTGATGGGATCAGTGTCCTCATGAAGGAGGACCCAGAGGCCCTCCCTCTCCCAGGTGAGGACTCCATGAGGAGATGCATCTGTGAACCAGGAAGTGGCCTCAGCAGAGCCACCTGTGTAGTCCTTTGGGTCCTGGTCCTCCAGCCCCTGAGCTGAGGTGAGGGGTGAATGTCTGTTGTTTAGAAGCTGTGTCTGTTCTAGTGCTGGGCCGACTGGGACAGTGATGAAAATAGTACTCAGAAACTTGCAGTGGTGGGTTCTGTCCAGTTACCCTCCAGGGGGAGGGCAGGAAAGAGTGAATTTCTGGGCCAGCCTGCAATATGAGTCTTAGAGAAATGGGTTAAATATGGCTAGAGTTTTCAGAAGATGCTGGTTTCCCCTGCACCTTCCTTATCTTCAGTGGAGGCCATTGGCATAAGCCTGGACCATAGCAGGCAGTCAGAAAATGCTCATATTCCCTCTGTTGGTGATCAGAGCACAAATGTAGCTCCCATGGTGGGAAATATGGAGGCCAGAAATAAGCCTTCCTAGGTGTACAACTGTAGTGTTTCTACTGTAGGGTCTTTGGTGCTCCAATCACTTTATTAGGACCCAGTCTCTTGTCATACGGATGCGGTTTCACAGCCTACATGGGAAAACGTGCCTCCTACTTCTGGGAAGGGTTTATGTGTGTGTGCATGTGTGGTATGTACACAGGTGCGTGCATGACACACATATTAGTAATAGGATGGTTCAATGGCTGCTTCTCTTTCATCTCAGGGACACTGACACCATCATATCATCCCTCAGAAAAGCCGCTGGTGTCCATCACTTGGGCATGCCCACTTTGCTTTGATGGTGGGGACACAGAGAGTGAAGGCAGCCCTCTGAGGTGTGCAGCACAACCTCTGAGGTGGCGCCAGTTCTGGGAGTTGGTGCCCCAACTCCAGTGTTGGGTGCCCCTGCCCCGTGGCTTAGTTATGAAGCTGAGTTCTCTGCTCCCAGAGCTGCAAATGAAGACAAGCAAAGCCTGAGCTTGCTCCCCTGTTCTCCATTCTGCCCTAGACAGATGGACTGGTTGTCTGCGAAGATGAAGTGCAGAACCCTGGAAGTTAAGTAGCTAATTCCAGGTCTCAAGCTACTCTGCTTCCAGGGACCTGGACATTCCAGATTAGGATTTTAGAAGGCCGATTGTCCAGGTAACTGCAGACACAGCCCACACCTAAGGCCTGGCTGCCACACACGTTGGGCTGGGGGACAGTCCCAGGGGAGGAGGGTGAGGGCTGTTGGCATGAAATGGGTAAAAGCGTGGTGTCTTACGGTCTGTTGTGATTTCGTAGGGTGAGTTGAGACGTGCATCTCCGCAGGGGGATGTGCTCACGTAGAGATGGAATAGGATGTTGTCCCTCAGCCGGTAGCCTCCGTCCTTGGACTGCATGAAAATCGACCGTTCTGTGTCCTCGCGCTGCTTGCTAGGGCCAGAAAGGGGTTCCAGTCACTCATTGGGTCAACTACACATCCTCTGACCAGCTGCACATCTGCCCAGCCTGGGTGGTATCCCCTCCCCTGTGTCTGGAGATATTCACATTCTGTTCCCCCACTCCCAGCGCTGGCTGCCCCTTCATGAGGCCTGGATGCGTGACCCATGAGGGGCTATGTGTCTGGCTGCTGCTCATGCTGGGGCTCAGATGAATCTAACTGAATGTGTTAGGTGCTGCTTGTAGGTGGCATGTGTGAGCCACTCCCTGAGCCCCGAGGTCTGATTACTAGCAGCTGGAGGAACACGACCAGATGATGTGATGGCCATTTCTGGCACAGTCAAGTCACTGTGACCAAGCACTTTCATCTACCCATGGTCCTGCGCCTATTTAGCATGTGGTAGAGACAGATGCCTGTGCAGTGACACTGGCATCCTGACTTCCCAGGACACCAGGCCTGCCAGCATCAGAGCACACTGTTCTGGGCTCAGTGGCCCTTTGGTGACAGAAGGCCCTCCATCGTTGCTTGGAGGGGGTGCAGGAAATCTCCAAGCCCATCATTGGCCACTGTGGTCAGGGCACTGGGGTCAAGGTCTGGAAGTGGGACACATCTGGGGACCTGGACAGGGTCCTCTCCTGCTCAGAGGAGGGGACTGAGGCCCACCCAGCTGTGCTTTAGGTTTGCTGAAAGCTGCTGACTGTGAAGAGAGGCCAGCAGCTGGGCATTGCCCCAGTCACTGGAGCCCAGTGCCCAAGACAAGGGAAACTAAGCAGCAGGCTGTTCCAGCCCGTGTCTGGGAGTGGGCCGTGTGTCTTACAGAACTTGTGCCTATGAGGATTTTCCATGGCTGGAGGTTCAGGACCAGGTTTGCACAGGGAGAGGAGGCACCCGGATCAGATGCTCCCAGCCTGGCAGAAATGCAGTCCTGATTCCTTTAAAAGGCCATAACCTTACCAGAGTCGAGCAGAGGTGTCAGTGGGACAGAGTTCACCAGGCAGCAGGGACTCTGGTGCGGTCACACCACACTGTCCCAACCCCTCTCAGCTCCCAGTGCCATGGGGTGTTCGGAGGGATGGTTCCCTGGGGGCCAGAGGGGCTCCTTGACTCAGCCTGTTTCTTTATTTTGAAAAACTGAGGCTGGTTCTGGGATTAACAGCAGAGACCTGGCTGTGGAGACTGTGGCCTTCACCTGGCCCCTAGGAGAGGGGCAGTTTGAGCCTGTGCTGGGTGGGCGGCCCTCATCCCAGACTTGAGCCAGGAGCGGGAGAAACAGTGAGAGGGTTCAGTGTGAGCCGTGGCCCACCACCCTCCTTGTGAATGGGCCCCCGCCTCGGGAAGAGAGCACTGCACCAGCTGCCCTGACCTTGTTTCTGGGGTGCCAGTCTCAGGAGGGCTGTCCTTTAGTGACCCCCTTTATGGGCTGAGTGTCTTTGTCCCCAAATTCACATGCTGACACCTGACCTCCAGGTGATGGTGTCAGGAGGTGGGGGGATGAGAGGCAATGAGGTTATGGGGGTGGAGCTCTTGTGATGGGATCAGTGTCCTTATGAAGGACACCCCAAAGTGCCCTCCTGAGCTGAGGTGAGGACACAGAAGATGTATCTGACCCAGGAAGTGGCCTCACTGGACGTGAGATCTGCCAGCATCTTAACCCTGGACTCCAGCCCTCAGAGCTGTGAGGACTTGGGACCTGTGGTTGAAGCCTCCATTGTGGTACCTCTTAGGGCTTCCTGAACTGAGACACCCCCGAGCATTCCACAGAGCTGTTATCAGATGGAATAGGCACATGACAAGGCATGTCCACACATGTGGGCATGTGGGAAGGGGATGGATGTATGCACTTAGCAAACCGTCTGCCTGGTCGGTCCTGGAGGGAGGCCTGAGGGTACAGGGAAGATGTCTGGAATTTCAGTGCCTGACCAGCCCTTACAGCAACATGGCCAGTGCTCAAAGGTGCCACCGTCTGAGCAGGAGCACGTGCCTTCAGCAGCAAGACTGTCAGCTCGTGAGGGGCTCTGCCACTTGGACCACTTGTTCTGGAGCCTGGGGCCCCACTCACCTAGCGTGCAGCTCCAGCTGCACATACAGGAAGTGCAGCAGCGCCCTCCTGGCCACGACCTCTGCGTGGCAGTCATTGACCACCAGACCCTGGTCACTGATGTACTCGCCACTGATACACCTGGTGCCTGAGGACAGGACGATGACCTGCGCTTGCCTGGCATCCAAACCTGAGGGACAGAGAAAGTGTCAGAGCTGCTGTCCTCCTTTGTTAGAGTGCCCGCCTGCCCACTCCCCCTATAGCGACTCTAAGGTCACCTTCAAAGGGACAGGGAAGGCACAGGGCCCCCACAGCTCACTGCACTGGGGCCCCTTGACACAGGTGCTTGGAGACCTCCCTGCCCCCCTTTGTGGGGACTGTGCTTCCAGGGGCAGGGGGACCTCATCTGCAGAGCTCTACTTCTCAGAGCCAAGATGAGCAGGGCACCCAAGGGTCCACAAGCCGAGTCCCTCCTGGAGAGCACGGGACTTCATGCAGTAGAGTCCTGGGAGAGGTGGGTGTGGTGGAGGTCATGTGAGCCTGCTGCCAAATGAGGCCTGCCTCCAGATGTCCCAAAGTGGGAGAGCCCTTAGCTTGGCTGCACCACAACTGGCCAGCTAGCCCCAGATCCTGCCACTGCCTCCCCCATCCTGCAGGATGAGAATTGCATCATAACTGAAAGGCTCACTACTGGGAACATGTTGTGCAGGATGGGGTGGGGGCCTGAGCCAGGTGGGTACTCCCTTGACAGCAGCTCCCATGGGCACCTCCATCCATGTTGGCCATCGAGGCAGTGCTCTGAATGGGGCACACAAGGTTGGAACCGTCCTGCAAAGTGCCAGCTGTCCCTCAGAGCCACCATATCTGGGGGCAGACTGGGCCAGCTGCCTCCACATCACCTGGGGCTGGTCCATTACCCTACATGCAGATACTACTTCCCAGGGCTTTGCCCCTTGTGGAAGTCAGGCCCAGCAGCCTTGGGGGGCTGTGATCTGGGGCCAAGAGCATGTGTGAGTCATGCAACCTGGCCACTGGGGTTGCCATCAGGGCAGCTGACCCCGTGGCAGAGCCAGCCCCACTGAGTGACAGCCTGGCCCAGTGCATCCCCTTCCAGGATTGCATTTCACATGTGGATAGGTGCAGGGACACACAGGAGTGTCTGGTGGGGTGCTGCCCCTTCCCCTGGGCTCCACATGGGAGTACATGACCTGGCCTGGCCCTCTCCCTATTTCTGGGGCCGCAGTTCAGGGGTGACATCTACACTATGGATTGTCTGCTTCCAGAGACTTATGCACAACCAGAACAGTGCACATTGCAAATTGAAACCAGCAGTGAAAAGGTGCTGTGCTTTCTGATTCTGCCACACGGCTTTCCATTTTCCCTAAAGAGCCCCTACAGATGGGAGATGGCAGCAGGTAGTCATGCCTCTGTTCCATCCCTCATGGCCTGTTTCCATGAGGCTGGCCCCTTACAGCTCCACGGGGAGCACAGAAGGAGTGCCCGCGCCATTTCCTCCCTGTCTTTGGGGCTGTGCGGCGTCTGTTTCCAGGAACCAGCACACCCACCACATGTTTTCTTGGGTTCGTGGTGGCCACCAGCAAGGAAAACAACTTGGTTTTTCTGAGACTCTCCCCGTCCAGATTTAGCCCTCAGGAGAGGACCTGAGCTTTCCCTGGGGTGCCTTTTAAATGATCACTTAGAGCTGAAAGGTCAGTGACCATGCCCAACCCCCTTGTAACAGATGCCACTGTGTGCTCTAGCGCTGGGGTGGGGGGCTACCCTTCCCAACTCACTGCACCCAAATTCTGCAAGTAATAAGCCTTGTGACTCTACTTCCTACAGGGACACTGAAACTGTGCCTCTGATCAAAACAACCCTGGGGTTTTCACTCCCCCAGGGGCAGCCACCTGCTGGGTGGCTGTGCCTCCTTCAGGCTCATGTCTGTTTATTCTTAATACACCCGCTCCAGCTTCTCGACACAGTGACCCAGTGGGCCTGTGGGTCTGGGAGTGTAGCTGTACTGTCTCCTCGCTTAGACTGTGAGTTCCTCAGGGGCGGGAATGAGAATTCCCACAGATATTCTGGGAAGGGGCTCATGGAGAGCCCATGTAATCAGATGCATTGGCTGAGATCCTGCCAGTGGTCCTGGGTCATTATGGCAACTGGAAGTCAAGAGGATGGTGTTGGGGGTCCTTAGCGCGGCCAGACCATGACACTCCTGTGGCCCCTGGGTTGTGGAACCAGTGCTGTGTGTGGTTGTATGTTTGCCACTCCGCTGAGATCTCCAATGTTCCTGTGGCCACTTCTCTAAAGAGGTGATGTGCAGGTTGAGAGCCCACTGGAGGGAACCTTCTGATTTCAATGACATTCACCCCCCAGTACCAGGTGCTGGCATGTGGTCAGTTCCCTATGCATGTGCATCACTCTGATGTGGGACTGTCCATCTAGAGGACTAGTCTAAGGCCTGACCACCTCCACGCCTGCTCCACACACAGCTGGGCCTTTCTAGTGAGACAAAACCGAGGAGCAGACAGGAGGGAAGTGAGCGGGGGAGACCCGCAGGACCAACTGTCCTCAGCCCTCCTTCCTCCCTGTTTCTGTGGCCTGACAACTGTCCGGCTCCGGCCAGGTTAGGCATCACCGTCCCCCTCTGCTGAGATTTGACTTCATGGAGATCCCAGGAAAGGACTAGACACTGTCCTATGTTGTGGTCACAACACCAGCAGCTACACCACTTTAAGAAATGAGAAAAAACCCACAACTAACCCCCTCATGGTTTCTTCCCCAGGACCGACCAAAACATTTAAAAGCTGCTCAAGGTGCAGCTGCTCCCCTTTCACAGGGTCCCTGGAATGCTCACTGGGATGTTTCTGTGGGGTGTGGGTTTCCAGCCCAGCCTGCGAAAGGCTATGAGCAGGACCTCACTGCACTGGGGGAGGCACGCTGGCCGCTGGGGACCACGAGCTAACTTGTCATCAGGTGGCAGGCAGTGTAGAGAAACAGCTTGAGAGGAAGCCATTGGGGTGGAGATGTTATTTTGTAGATCTCAGCTTAATTAAAGCAGGTAGAGTAAAGGAAAATAACATTTATAACAGTTTCATATGGTTCTTCGATATTCAGATGCCTGGTGCACAGCGATGCAGCATAGCAACAATTATTTGACTGCTGGCACTGCTTCTCCTGAGGCTGGTCTGGTGGTCTTTTTTGATTCTGTGGAAATTAGAGCTGCAGAAAAGAGAAACTGCTTTCCTTTACCCCTCATTACTTCTAAGCCCCACTTGGATCCAGGCTCTGCCATATTCAGTACAATTATGGGGCCCCAGAAATGCATGATTTGCTGATTCACTTTTTGTTACTCCCACTCCCTGTGTGTCAGTGCCATGCTAAGTGACGGGACACTAAGACAGCCAAGACACAGTGCTATACTTCAAAGGGTTTATCATAAATTTATGGAGATGACACAGAAATGTCCACAAAATAAGGTACTGCGAGATAAATGTCATGTGAGGGCTACACAGGATGTTACTAGAATGGGGTGAGGTGGGGGGTAGCATTCCAGATGCAGGCTTCCAGGAGCAACCACTGAGTCAGGGGTCCTTGGGGACTGATTTATGGAGAGAGTTCCCTCAGGAGGAGCTTGGAAGAAAATCATGGAAATGGGCTTGGATGGGAAGAAGCCAGGCGAAGGGCAGTCCCTCTTGAGTCTCGTCTTGGGCTGATCTGATACAAGACTGAAAAATGTAGGGTGCTGGAGAGCCAGTCTGCTTGGAGGGAAGGAGCTGAGCTGCTCCCCCAGCTGGGGAGAGGGGTCACTGGTGGGCATTCTGAGGAGCCTGGGTGTGGCATCACTAGTGTCCATTGCAATGACACCAATGAGTACACACCAGTGTAGATGCCCGCCTCAGTCCACACTGCCTCCTGGTCATGTCCTTTCCCATAAAGTGGCTATCAAGAGTGAAACCACTATGCCACGTCATAGAAAATATAAACGCACGAATTCTATGGAATGAATAGCAAAAGTGATCAAAATGTACACCAGAGTACCAAACCCAGTTAGATTTTCAGGAGAATCCTACAAACCTTTAAATAGCAGATGATTTTAAGGCTATTTAAAATGTGTAGAGCATCTGGAGGTAAAGAAAACCCTCACAGTGCCTTTATTACGAAATACCGGTATTATTGATCTATCCACCACAGACTGTAGAAAGACTACAGATGCCCTCAGTTGTGGATATTAAAAATTCTAAATAAAATATAACCACAAAGCATCAGAGGAAAATAGCAATATATTAATCATTACAGTGGGTTTACTCCAGAAAAGCAAAAATGGATTATATTAAAAATTTAAACTATGATTATAAGCATAGACAGTAAGAAGTCACCTGACAAAATCCAACTTCTTTTGATAAAAACTCAGTAAATGGCTTCAATCTGTTGTTTTAATATGATTATGATTATGTATATATATGCACATACATATATGTATGTGTGTGTGTACACATACAGGTACACACATAAATGTTAGAGGTATGCACACATATACATACACACACATGCATATACACATATATAGATGTATATACATGTACATATGTATTACAGAGAAATATATATACATACAAACACATACACTGAGCATCATGCTTTGTGGGAAAACACTGGTGGGATTTCTAGTGTACTCAGGAACATGACAAGAATGCCCACTCTAACCCCATTATTTAACATCTACTGAAGTTTTTGGCCAACACAAGCGAAAAATGAGAGAAAGAAATGAAATAAACAGTGATTAGGAGGGAGTGCTGTCTGAGTTTCCTACGAATGCATATGTGGAAACTTCCAGAGAATCCAGGTGCAATACCTCTGGAAACAATAAGAGAGTCACTAAGGTGGCAGGGTAAAGTTAATACACTGAAATCAATAGCTTTCATATATACACACCACAACCAGTGAGAAACTATAATGGAGAAATGACTCCATTTATAGCAGCAGCAAATGAGATAATAGGAGTAAGTCTAACAATAATGAATAAAATATTAAAACCCTACTGAAAAATACTGACAAAGTTTGAACAAATAGGAAGACATGCCACACTTTTGGACAGAAGACCTGATGTCATGCATGCTCTCTAGGGATTGTTCAGGTCGTTGTGATTCCAGTAGGACCAGAAAAGAGCTTTGTTTTTGGCAAGGG